AAGATAAATTAATCGACTTTTTAATTGTAGTATACTATGACGGTATCCATAACTCTACTGTCCGCATAATTTGTAATAACCACGACGGTTTGTTAAATTAACGACATACAAATTTTTTACCACTTCGTGGAGTTAAAAATAACGTCGTATTAATTAACTTTATACGTCTATCATTATCTATAAAACATCGTCTTAATTTTAATTGATTTTTAAGATTTATTTATTGGATTTTTTTTCCTACGGCGGTGGATAAACAGTATGACAAGATTTGTGATAACCCACGATGGTTTATATAAAAAACCGTCGTCACCATAAAATTAAAGTGAAGTCTTACTAGAATGAACTCTGTTCCTCATCATAATCCAACCAACACACAAAGGCAATATTTTAGACATTGATGATGTGTGTGTCTTTGAGATACATAAAGGCACACACACATCAACATCTAAAACATTTGCTTTCAAAAAAATGATGACCGCAGCAGAAAGACAATTTTTTAGATGATGTGTGCGTGTTTGTGTCTTTCAGATACACAAACGCGCACACACATCAACATCCAAACTGAAAAATGAAAGCGAGGTGAGAAAGAGAGGTGATGTGCCTCCAGAGAGGTGAGACAGAGCCAAGGGCAAGAAGAAGTTGAAACCCTAATTGAAAAATGAAGGCGAAAGAAAGACAGAAAAACCCTTATTTATAAAATAATCTTTTATACCACGTCGGTTATATTAACATTAGTGACGTGTAAATGAAAACATAAACGTCGTTTCACACTAAAATGAGGTCATATAAATGTAATTAACAACGACGGTATATAAAAAAACGACGTTGTCAGTGTTTGAAAAACTAATTTATTATGTAATTAAAAAAGTTACACGTCGGTATGCGTAATTAAAACGACGTGCTATAGATCGTTCATGTCGTTATTATTGAGTATAAGGTCGTTGGGTAAATTTGAAAATGACGGGATACATCTTTTTGAAGAAAAAAGCGTCGTGTAATTAGAAATAAAAACGGTGTTTTATGAAAACTAGGTGTCGTTGAAACTGATGTAATAGGGCAGTATAAACCTATAGCATCGTATAATGTTACAAGCTAGGGCGCGTTCTATTAATTGCGTCGTTTTATGAAACGGTATGTTAATATTTTAAACTTTTCGCCTACCTGACCTACACTTGCACTGTTTCCAAACCCGAGAAAAACTTTCAAGCTTCTCTCATTTTCCATTCTCAAAGCGCTGTTTCTGTATCTCCGAGAGAAAACTTTTCGTCTTCCTCTCCTCTTCGTCTTCGTCTCTGAATTGAAACACCAAACTCCGGGAGAAAACTTTCATTGCACGCAAAAGGTAAGCATTTCTCACTATTTTTGTTCTTGTTTTGCATGCGCATATCATTTTCGTTTTTTAAATCTTTTTACATTTTTTCTTGCTAAAATCATTTTACTTCTTTCCAAGTTTGATAAAATTTGCAGACAAAGAAGGAAAGTTTCCAAGTTTGAACACTACTCTGTTTCTTTTACTTCAACTAAATAAGACGACGGTGGCTTCTTATTTACGTGGTTAGATTTATAGACCACGACGGTTCGTCAGTCGTCCTAGCGTCGTGTGAAAGTGTTCTACGTTGTTTTTTAAAATGATCGTTGCTTTTTGTATTTGATTGTTTAGGATATATTCATCGCAGGTTTGATTTCTCTGAACAATGGTTTTTGTTTTGAAAATCTTTTTAATTATTTTTCTGTTGAAAATCTTTTTAATTATTTTTCTGTTGAAAATCATTTTACGTTTTTCCAAATTTGATAAAAAACAAAGACAAAGAAAGAAAAGGTCTGGAACAATTTCTCTGTTTTTGTTTTTCTCTTGTAGAGACGACGGTATATTATTATTGACGTCGTTTTAATTGTAATACCACGATGTTATATTATTATTTGCGTCGTGTGAATATATTAATACGTCGAATTTTTTTAAAAACGTCGTTTTAGTAAATGAAAATCTAAAATATTTTCCCCTGAAGGTCTGAATCTGGAATCAACCCTCTGTTTTTGTAATTATATCATAAGACGTCGGTTGTTTATTATTAACGTCGTTTTAATATTTAATCACGTTGGTAGTTAAGTACCATCGTGAAAATGTATTATAACGTCGATTGTCATGTTCTTACGTTGTGTGAAATATTATAATACGTCGGTTTTTATAAATAACTGTCGTGTTTTTTCTTAATTTCATATGAAATATTTTCACTTGCAGGTTTGATTTGTCTGTAACTATGGTTTCTCAATCCCAAAGTAAGGACTCTGGCTTTAAAAAAAAATGAATGTAAGGAGCTTAAAGTTGTAAATCCTCAAGCCAAGTCCTCAAATAAGATGAAGTTTGTTTCATCTGCTAAGACAAAACCAGGCAGCATGATAACATTTTCTGAGGAGCCAAAGTCAAGTCGGGGTATAAGCACAAGCCCCGTGTTGTGAAGAGAAAATTTCAGAAAATCAAGCTAGTTGAGTACAATAAAAGGGGGAAACCATGTGGCCATGCACATACTGAGATGCAGTCCTGCATTGGTGTGTTGGCACGCTCTAGAGTCCCACTTGTGGACAAGAAATGAGCTGAAATATCCAAGAATATAAAAGAGCAGATTTGGGAAGTCGTTGACATGGCTTTTGTGGTAGGTCAAGGGGGCAAGAAACTGGTGTTATCTTTTGCTGCCAAGAAATGGAAGGATTTCAAGTCTACACTAACAAGGCATCATATCCTTCCATTCATCAAGGAGAAGGAGAAATTAAGCCAACCCCCTGAAATATATAAATTCATAGAGAAAGCAGACTGGGATGCCATTGTAGCTTCAAGGTTATCTGAAAAATTTGTGTCTGTGCATTTTGAACAATCACAAAGGAGGGAGAAACTTGAGTACAATCATCGATTGTCTCGAAAAGGATATGCTGGTTTGGAGGATCAGTTGGAGGAAACCATGCCCGGGGTAGAAATTGATCGATCTACCTTATGGAAGAAAGCTAGAGAAGACAAACATAGTAACATCCCGGATCCAAAGGTTGCAGAGAAAGCAAAATTAATTGTAAGCCTACTCACTCTGATTTAAATTTTTATTAAACTGTATTGCCGTGATAAGTCTTATTACGTCTTTTGTTATATTTTTGCGTCGTGTGAAAAATATTACTACGTCGAAATTTTATAAAAAACGTCGTTAAAGGTCTGAATCTGGAATCACTACTCTGTTTGTTTGTTTTTTTTTGTAATTATATCATAAGACGTCGGTGGTTTATTATTGACGTCGTTTTAATATATTAACCATGTTGGTAGTTAAGTACCGTCGTGTGAAATGTTATATTACGTCGATTGTTATGTTATTGTGTCGTGTGAAATGTTATAATACGTCATTTTTTTTTATAAATAACCGTCGTGTGTTTTCTTATGATAACTTTTTATTGTGTCTTTGTGTTAGGATGAATTGCAAAAACAAGTCTCTGAAAGCACTCTTACTGTATCAGGAAGTAATGATGTGTTGACAATGACTTTGGGTCCCGAGCATCCAGGAAGAGTTAGAGGGGTAGGGGCTGGGATTTCCACTAAGCAATACTTCAATTTACCTAAACAACAGAGGGTAAAGTTTGCCGATCAATTAAAGGAAAGTGTAAGACTTGTCCTTCAAGAAGAGACTTTGAAGATGGAGGCTAGAACCAAGCAATTGGTAGAAGCTGAGAGGGAAAATTTGCTGAGTCAGCTTTCCCAACTCTTCCCCAATTTTGATCCAAGCATGCTGAAACTGAAAACTAACCCTTGTCAAATCCAAGGTCAAGAGCAAAGTCCCAAAAATCCAATGTTGGACAAAGCAAGCTGCTCTGGGGCTCTTGATGTCAGAGCCTTACATTTTGAGGATGATACTGCCAAGAATGGGGAAAAGCAGGATGAAATGGTAATATCTCTGAACTTTGAATTCTCTGTTTTTCAAAAAGCCATTAGACGTCGTTATTGTGAATCACAGTCGTTAAAATTAAATCGTCGTTTGGATTTTTATACCACGACGATGGAAAGGATTGAGTTATTGTCGTATTTAGTTTACTTGTTTTACAAGCTATCTTCACTGACACAATCCCACTCTCTGTATCTCTCTCTCTCTCTCACTCTTTTTCTCTGCAATTGCTGTTATCTGTGTTTTTGCTAAAAAAGGCTGGTACACTCTGGAATCTGAATTTCTGAAAAATTTTATGTGATTTAGACGACGGTTTATTCCTTACCGTCGTAATAGATAAATCACCACGACGTTTATTATTTACCGTCGTATAAGGCATTTTAGACTTCCGTAATTCTTACATACCGTCTTTTGTTACGCCTTACCATGACAGTTTAATTTAATTTTTTTACTTTTTTGAACTTTTTGTACAATGTCTTATATATATTTCTTTATTTCTTAAAACAAAAATCCAGGGATGTAGTAAAGCAAGATGAAAAGGTAAATTCTCATAACTTTGCCTTTTTCATTTGTTTTTCAATTTTCAGACGTCGATATTTTCTTTAAACCGTCGTTTGTTTTATATTTCCACGGCAATTTTGTTTTTAATTGAATTTTTAAATTGTTGTAGAAGCTTTCTTATATATCTCTCTTTATTTATTAAAACAGAAATCCAATGTTGGAGAAAAGCAAATTGAAAAGGTAAATTCATTATCTATGAATTTTGCATTTGAATTAGACGTCAGATTTTTTTTATACGACGTAATAAATTCATCACCACGACAGTGTTTTGTTATCGTTGTGTAAATTATTTTCAGACAATGGTGTTTTATTTAAACCGTCGTGTTTATTGATTTACCATGTCACTTTATGTTGCTTTATTTCTTAAAACAGAATACTGAAGTACCAAATTATTCAAAGCTGGAGTTGCCATCTTCTTTACAATCCCTTTGTCGTTATGCGGAAACGACACTAAAGCCTCAGGAGAAGACTATGACCTTTACAATTGAGAAGGAGGTGTTTGGCATAGATTGTACTACCTTCGTCTTGCATGAAGATATTACATAGTTTGCTGGCATGGAAGAAATTGGGGCTACTGTGGTTGCAGTATATATGAGGTTTGTCCTTATCAAATATTCATTTCACACTCTCCTTTCTATTGAACAAAAAAAACAGTCATGGGATCATTTCATATATTTAGGTGCCTATTTGATAATTTGAAAGCTGCAAATATGGTGAACATGGTTGGCCTTATTGACCTTGCTCAAGTTAGTGCCAACTCTGGAACATTAACTGATAGATCACGTTTGGTAGCCAATCGACTTCAAAAGACAGATGGTGAACAGATTTTCCTGATGCCTTACAATCCAGGGTTAGTCTCCTAAATAGGATTTTGTTTGTATGATGCATTGCATACAAAACAGTTTAACCTTTATATTTATTTTGTGCAACCATCATTGGGTCTTGATCATTGTGAGAGCAAAGAAGGAGACTGAGTATTTTCTGGATCCACTGCCCGGAAATCGAGTTGTGGATGAGGAGGGCAAAAACATAGTGAACAGTGCTATCAAAATGTATAATTCACACATAGGCAGACAAGGCCGTAAATCACCTATTTGGAAAACTCTACCAGGGACACCAAAGCAACCCATCAGTGTAGAGTGTGGCTATTATGACATGCGCTTTATGAGAGACATCATCATGGATCCTTCCCTGGAGTTTGAGAAGATGGTAAGAAGAAAATTTTCAGATTTATTTTATGTTGTTTTTTGTATTATCAACAACGGTAAATTAAAAATACCATCATTGCATAGATATACTACGTCGGTAAATGAAAAATAGCGTCATCTGTGGATATATATTGAATTTCTGTGTATTTATAAAGCCTAAATAATCATTGTTTATGGATTGCAGTTTGCGAAGGGAAAAGATCAAGCGCCATACCCCCAAGAAGCCATTGAAGAAGTGAGGAAAGCATGGGCAGAGTTTGTTTGCCTTCATATGGAGTAGAGGATTTTTAGAACACTTAACATTTTTATATAATGTACAAATTTTGTTAGAATTAGACAAGTTTTTGTACAAATTTTATGTATAATGTACATTCTTTTTTTCCCTATGAATTTAAAATTGGTTTTCATTATTTAAAAAAAAA